AGGGAAGAACACGCTTGGCATTTCTCAAGCTGAAAGAACAGAAGAAAAAATTCAAGCCTCAAGTTGCAATATTGAAGGATTCTAGGGGGAAAGTACTAAACAACACAGGAAACATCAAAAGAAGATGGAAGGAATACACAGAGTCACTGTAACAAAAAGAATTGGTCGACCTTCAACCATTTCAGGAAGTAGCATATGATCAAGAACCAATGGTACTGAAGGAAGAGGTCCAAGCTGTACTGAAGGCACTGGTGAAAAACCAGCCTCCAGAATTGACTGAATACCAACTGAGTTGTTTCAGCAAACGGATGCAACACTGGAAGCGCTCATTCATCTATTCCAAGAAATTTGGAAGACAGCTACCTGGCCAACCGACTGGAAGAGATCCATATTTGTGCCCATTCCAAAGAAAAGTGATCCAACAGAATGTGGGGATTATTGAACAATATCATTAATATCACACACAAGTAAAATTTTGCTGAAAATAATTTAAAAACTGTTGCAGCAGTACATCGACAGGGAACTGCCAGAAATTCAAGCGAGGTTCAGAAGAAGACATGGAATCAGGATATCATTGCTGATCTCAGATGGATCTTGGCTGAAAGCAGAGAATACCTGAAAGATGTTTACCTGTGTTTTATCGACTATGCAAAGACATTCGACTGTGTGGATCATAACAAATTATGGATAACATTGCGAAGAACGGGAATTCCAGAACACTTAATTGTGCTCATGAGGAACCTGAACATAGACCAAGAGGCAGTTGTTCAGACAGAACAAGGGGATACCGTGTGGTTTAACATCAGGAAAGATGTGCATCAGTGTTGTACCCTTTCACCATATTTATTCAGTCTGTATGCTGAGCAAATAAACCGAGAAACTGGACTATATGAAGAACGCAGCATCAGGATTGGAGGAAGGCTCATTAACAACCTCTGATATGCAGATGACATAACCTTGCTTGCTAAAGGTGAAGAGGATTTGAAGCACTTACTGATGAAGATCAAAGACTTCAGCCTTCAATATGGATTACACCTCAATATAAAGAAAACAAAAATCCTCACAACTGAACCAGTAATGGAGAAAATATTGAAGTTGTCAAGGATTTCATTTTACTTAGATCCACAATCAATGCCCGTGGAAGCAGCAATCAAGAATTCAAACGATGTATTGCTTTGGGCAAATCTGTTGCAACAGACCTCTTTAAAGTGTTAAAAAGCAAAGATGTCACTTTGAGGATTAAGGTGTGCCTGACCCAAGCCATGGTATTTTCAATAGCCTCATGTGCATGCGAAAGCAGGACAATGAAAAATAAGAATTGATTCCTTTGAAATATGGTATTGGTGAAGTATTTTGAATATACCACCAACTGCCAGAAGAACCAACAAATCTGTCTTGGAAGAAGTACAGCCAGAGTGTTCCTTAGAAGCGAGGATGGCAAGACTTTGTCTCATGTACTTTGGACATGTTATCAGGAGGGACCAGTCCCTGGAGAAGGACATCATGCTTGGTAAAGTAGAGGGTCAGTGAAAAAGAGGAAGACCCTCAACAAGATGGATACAGTGGCTGCAACAATGGGCTCAAGCATAGCAACGATTGTGAGGATGGCACAGGACCAGGCAGTGTTTCATTCTGTTGTACATAGGGTTTCTATGAGTTGGAATCGACTTGACAGCACCTAACAATTTGGGGGCAAAGCTTGCGAACCACTGACCTATGGGAAAAAAGGCCAAACTCCTCAGCCTGTCAGTTAGTGTCTTCTACAACCTGACCTGTTTCCACTTACTGCCTCAAGCATTCATTCAAGTGCTGATCTGTTTCCATTTGTGCCCCTCATGCTAAATTCAAAGCCTCTACCCTCTGAGGGGAGTCCCTGGGTGATTCAAATGGTTAACAGCTTTGGCTGATAACCAAAAGTTTGGAGGTTTGAGTGTACCCAGAGGCTCCTCAGAAGAAAGACCATTGAAAACTCTAGGGAGCTCAGTTCTACTCTGACTCACATGGGGTTGCCATGAGTCATAGTCAACTTGAAGCCAATTGTTTTACCCCAAGAAGTGACCACGAATGCCCCACAGAGGCAGCCCTCTCTGGGCCACTCAGTACATAGTTTGCTTTTATAATCACTTGTGTCTCCATTCATCTTTCCTAGCAGCTGCAAAATCCTTGAGGGCAGCGGTTGCCCCTTAAACAGCCTGTATTGTCAGAACCTGGCAGGATACTGTTTCCCTTGTTAAGACCACAAACTACTTTAGGGCAGTGGCTGGGCCAGACTTTTAGGTGTTTTCTTCAGAGTCCCACACAGCACAGCTGGTGAGCCAGTGAACCCAACAGGCGTGTTCCCTGTAGTATTGCTGAGAAAAGTATGGGACCAAAGGAAGAGGTGGACTCTGTCCCCACTCAACTGCTGACATGTGAGGCCAGGGCCCTCCTGGGCCTCAGTCCACGAAGTGCGGTCATAGTCTGCTTGACTTAGAGGGCCCCAGGGACCTGTTCAGCTCTGCCTTCACAGGGCTGTCTTTCTTTATACGCATTTCTGATCTCTCAGGGACTCTGTTCTGCCAGAGGGTAACCAGCCACCAGATCCTCAGGGGATTCTTTAGGTTAACTAAAGACCTGAAGAAACTAGGGTGAAAAGCAGGACACACACAAGAAAGCTACCCCGAACACTTTGCCCCCACATTGCTTTCAGTGCTACTACTCTGGGTCCTGAGGCCAGACACTGGGGCAGTATTAGGAACTAACAGCTTGTTTCCAATAAAAACATACAGACAAAAGGGGTACATCAGATTGCACCTTCCAGCATAGATAATAGCTTCATTTCAACAATTTGCCCCCACCTTATGCAACTGACTTCTTAAGGTAAATCCTACATGGGTACTCCGAGAGGGTTTTGAGTTGAGTAAGATTCTGTTGGAGAGACAAGTTCAGGAAACCATCTCTCCTCAACCATTGTCCCGCCCACATGGCAGGAAGCGCTTAGTGCCCTTACCTGAGGTTGCTGGGCAGTGAGTCCCCCTCTTCCTTGAACTGAGGTGAAGATCACGGACTCAAGCCACAGCTCTGGAGCCAGACTGCCTGGTTTCAAATCCTGCCTCTCATTTATAAGCTGTCTGAATTTGGGCAAGTTATGTGACTTCTTTGTGCCTCAATTTCCTCATCTGTAAAATGGGGATAATAATAGCATCTAACTCATGGGGTGGGAGTCCCTGGGTAGCACAAATGGTTAACTGGTCAGCTACTCAACGAAAGGTTGGCAATTTGAATCCACCCAGAGATGCCTCAGAAGGCCTGGTGATCTACTTCCGAAAGGTCACAGCCATTGAAAACCCTATGCACAGTTCTACTCTGACACACACACAGAATCAATGCAACAGGTTTTTGTTTTTTGTTTTTTTTTACCTTATGGGGTGTAGTGAGGACTGAAGGAATTTAATATGTGGTAAAGTGTTAGAACAGTGCCTGGCATATAATGAGTGCTATCTATACTTAATGCTATTATTATTATGTTAGCATGATGTGCGTCCCTGGAGAAATATGGGGCTGTCTGCACCTCTAGCTCCGTATGCCCTCAGGGTCTAGCAGAGATGGTGGTCCATAGTTATACCAAGTCAACATTACTTAAGTGAACAGTTGTTTGGGGCTGGGACAGGGCAGCCATGGCAGGAGGGAGCAAAAGGAAGAAAGACCAGCTAGTTCAACCCTGAGGTAAGGAGCCACACACCAGCTGGGATGCCCTCCTGAGGCAGCACACCCTCTACTGGGAGTGCCTCTGTAGCTGCCACCTTTGCCTTCTCCTGCCCCCAAAACAGTGTCCAAGAGATGAGAGGTAGGTAGCAAAGGCCCCGAACAAGGTGAGGCCCCTTGGGAAGAGCCTCAAAGACAGCAACAAGATACGGAAGTTTCACAAGGGTGATTCAAGCCATGGGGCTTTCGGCAAGTCGCTTTACCTCCTTCATCTCTGTGCCTCAGTATCCCTATCTGTACAAGGGGCTGGCCCAGACAGTTGAATGTCTCAACTCTGACGTTCTAGGATTCTAACAGTGTGGTAAAATGACACCACTTGCAAAGGAGCATCATTTTACTGCTCTCCTTTCACATTATTAAAAGAAGGTTGAAAAGCCACAGACACTTAACTTCTAAAAGTGTTTGACAAGTGATTGTGATGCAAACCAAAAAGTGATCAATTTCGTCAGCAGACGCAGAGGAAGGACCCCAGGCTGGCCACACCAAGGGACTGGCTGGTCCCCTCTGCTGCCGTCCCTCATTTATCACTGGTCACTTCCCATCCCTTCCCTGTCATTTTCCTTGTCCTGGTCACTACTCCAATTGTGCAGATCTGCTCCATCGTGGAAGTTCTCTTCATCCTCCCTTCTGACTCCTGGCCTTTCTATGAGCCCAGACACCTGCCCATGCCTTCCCACAGGCCTGGCCGAGCCTCAGCAGCCTCTGTTCTTGGGCCTGCACCACCCCAGCCTGCAGTCCCTGTGACACCTGGACCTCGGCCGTGCCCTACAGAGTGTGCGTGCCAGAGTAACCACAGCGTGCACTGACTCACATGCCTGGCTGCCTTTCCAAGGGAGCCCAAAGGGAGACGAGGAATAGATCAGGAGGGCAAGAGGACAGCCAAAGCATTCACTGAGTGGGATTTTACACATTTATAACATATCAAACTCTCTGTTTGCAAAGAGGCCATACTGTCCCAAAACATGCACTCCATCCCCACACCTTCTCCTTTACAGACACAAATTCTTACAAACTGACAAAACCTTAAAATTGAATGGAAAATTAAATTTCACTTTAGGTAACTAAATGAATTCCGCAGGTTCAGGTTCAAATCAGGTCTGCTTCTGTCACATTAGCCATGGCTTTCTGAAAACTGGAGTAGGTTTAAAATAATATCCACGCTTTGTGGCCATGCTTTTTACCTCTGAATTTGCTGATCCAGTTCCATTCTTTTCTGAGATAGGCCATTCCACAATTAGATTAGGTTGATTAGGCTGGCGGGAACATTCATCTTTACAATTTCTCCTACAACATAGAGCCCTCCATGAACAAGACAGGCAAAAAGAATAATTTTTACTCCTGTTCTTTAATTTTTTCTCTTTAAGAAGATAGGCATATTTCTGGTGATAGTTTTAAAGCGGTGGAAAGGCTTTATTATATATTTTATTACAGAATTAGAAAATTTCAAAAAATAATTGTTTGGAACCAAAAATAATTAAAAAGAAATATAACAGTCCCATAAAAAAGCATTCTGGTATGTCTTAGATTTTTTTCCCCCGAATTATGAGAATTTAGCTCTCCAAGTTCTCCAATACGTGTTAGAATATCCATGAATTTCCATGATTCCAGCTGAATACTTTGACAGTTTTCCTTCTTAAGACATGGTCATTATTCATTTTTTCTTCAATAGCTCAGTCATTTCAGGAACTACCTGCAAATTAAAAAAAAAAAAAAAAAAGTAATTAACCAACTTGAGCCTTCACTGTGATCATGGTCATAACCCCTTAACAAGTACCAAACCAAAAACCTCACCCCTTGCCGTCAAGTCGATTCCGACTCATAGTGACCACGTAGGACAGAGCAAAACAGCCCCGTAGGGATTCCAAGGAACGGCCGGTGGATTCCAACTGTCGACCTTTTGGTTAGCAGCCAAGCTCTTAACCACTGCGCCGCCAGGGCTCCTTAACGAGTACACAGAGGCCAAAACACAATGCAAAGTCACTGCTGAAGCACAAAGTGTCCCTCTACTCTGCTACGGAACTCCCGCTCTCCTGCAGTCTCTCCTCCCACCCATGGGGAGACTGCAAACGTTCTGAGGGAAAGACCACCCTGGACAGAGGGCTGGCAGAGCCAAGAGCCCACTCACTGCCTCTGAGGCTGTTCTGACACAACCACAAACCTTAGGAAGGCACCAGAGAAAACAGGAAGTCTAATTTTTCTTGTCTGTGTTGAGAGTAACACGTATTTTTTATCTTCATGTTTTCCCCAGCATTCCCTCCCTTACTTCATTCCTGCCTTTTCTCCAAAGTCCACACCAAAGTCTTTAACTTAAGACATGACTCCTGTCAACCTCCTCTAACACTTCTTCTCTCATTGATTATTCATTTGTTCGTTCATTCATTAGTTTCACAAACATTTTGGTTGCTTCCTCAGTATGTGTTACTATCACATAAACATAAAAATGAGCTGCATGCTGAACACTCAAAATCATCGCCCTTTATTAAAATCAAGGTCTTCAGTGCTAATGCAGTGGCTGGTCAGTGGGCACAGTAAGAAACCACAGAGAGGGGAAACTGACCGAGTTGGCCCCAATTTTAAAAAGGATTCATTACTATCTTGGCCGTTGAGCGTCTGCAACCAGAGCTTCCAGTATGGAGCTGCTTTTTGACTGCAGGGGGATGTCACACAGGGCCCACCTGAAAACTAGCCCGGCCACTTGTGTAAAATATCAATTACCCAGTCTTTCAAGGGGCTCGGCTGCCCTAGCTCAGAGAGATCCCAGCTGAACTTGCCACTGTTGAGTACAGCCTCTCAATTATTTAAGAGAGCTACATTTCCATTAGGTGGAAATAATGTGTTCGTACAAAATTTATTAAGGAAATTGTTGACATGTTGTTTCTTCCGAATGTCACTTTGTCTCCAGCTTATTAAAAGGCCCATGTTTACCACGGAGCCAGCAGGCATTAGCTCAGGGGCAGCAGTAAGTGCTGCCACCACTTCCGCAGCTTTCCTCAGTGGAGAGACCATGAGCTCATGGCAGCCACAAGGACCACATGCTAAATGAGCCTCACGTGGGACCTGTGTGGCTCAGGAAAAACAGGCTAGAGCCCAACTTCTTTCTCTAGGAAGTCCAACATTAATTTGGTTTAGAACGTACAATTTTTTTAAAATAATTATTTATACTATTGTTGTTGTTGAGAATAGTCACAGCAAAACATACACCACTTTAACAGTTTCTACATGTAAAATTCAGTGACATTGATTACATTCTCGGAGTTGTGCAACCATTCTCACCCGCCTTTTCTGAGTTGTTCCTCCCTCACTAAGATAAACTCACCTCCCCCTAAGGTTCCTGTCTAATCTTTGGAGTTGCTGTTGTCAATTTGATCCCATATAGACAGTTCTTAAAAGAGCATAATGCTCAAGGCAGACTTCAGGCGATATTTTTGGTCTAAGGTTTAAAAATAATTTCAGGGCAGTAGTTTCAGGAGCTCATCCAGCCTCCATGGCTCCAGAAAGTCCAGAATTTGAAATTCTGTTCTGCATTTTCCCCTTTTGATCAGGATTCTTCTATAGACTCTTTGATCAAAATTAAAACATACAATTTTTCAAAGTCCTTACAGAATGTCCCCCCTGCCGCACTACCAAAAAAAAAAAAAGAAAAAAAAAAAGTTTAAGGGGCTCTCTCCATCAACTATATCCTTTTCACTAGACCAACCTCGGACTTTCCCAGCACCCCACACAATGCCGTATTAGGGAGAAGGGAGAAGACAACACCAACTCAGGTTCACAGAGTATCTGACGGCCTTGGCATACTGAAAGATCCACGTTTCTACTCTATTTTAGCTATAACAGAGAGCAGAGGTAGCTCCCTATTCAGTAAGACCAAAGGAGAGTGAATGTAAGTTTAAAAACAGACACACTGTGATTATGAATCACAATACAGTTATAACTATGTTTCACTCATTTACTTAGTACTTCCTCAGAGTTAACTACATGGGAGACAGCGATGTTCAAGCCTGATTCCCACCCACAGAGTTCCCAGCCCTAATTGTGGAGCAGAGACACAGGCCTACGAATCAGCCAATCAAAAACCTGTTCATCTTACACATTGGGTAGGAGAAGAATAGTATTAAATGCTCCAAATTCAGAAGTTCTAAGGAAGGAGGGTTAAGCGTGGATTAGGAAAATCCAGATCATCAACATGGAAAAGAAAAGGATTCTGGATAAAAAATGAGGAGGCAGAGATATACAATGCAGGTTACAGAGATAGTAATGAGATTAGGACTCTAGACAATAGCTGTGTTGGGGAGAGGTGAAAAAGAGGGTTTAAAAAGTTAGGTGGTAAAAACACTCAACAATCTAAGAATAGAAGAGAAAGAACTTCCTCAATCTGATAAAAGGCGTCTATGCAAAACTCACAGCTAACGTAACAACATACTTAATGGCGAAGCAATGAATATTGCCCCCCTAAGATCAGAAACAAGGATGTCAACTCACACCACTTCTATTCAACACTGTACTGGAGATTTTAGTTAGGGCAATTAGGAAAGAAAAACGTATAAAAGGCATCCAGGTTGGAAAAGAAGTAAAACTATCTCTATTCACAGATGAGATGGTTTTGCATATAGCAAATCCTAAGGAATACACACACACACACACACACACACACACACACACAATTAGAACTAATAAACAAATTCAGTAAGGTTGCAGGATACAAGATCAATATAAAAATTCAATTGTATTACTATATACTACCAATGAACAATCCAAAAATGAAATTAAGAACACAATTCCATTTATAATACCATCCAAAAGAAGTCCGAGATTTGTACACTGAAAACTACAAGAGATCACTGAAAGAAATTAAATAAGAGCTAAATAAATGGAAAGACAGTACATGTTCATGGGCTGGAAGAGATTAGTTGGACCCTTACACCTCACACCACATACAAAAATTAACTCAAAATGGATCATAGACCTAAATGTAAGAGATAAAACTATGAAACTCTTAGAAGAAAAAATAGGAGTAAGCTTTTGTGGCCTTGTATTAGGTAATGGTTTCTTAGATATGACACCTAAATCATCACAAGCAACAAAAGAAAAAATAGATAAATTAGGCTTCATCAAAATTAAAAACTTTTCTGCTCCAAAGGACACTACCAAGAAAATGAAATGACAACCCACAAAATGAAAGAAAATATTTGCAGATCATATACCTGATAAGGAACATGTATCCAGAATATATAAAGAACTCTTACAACAACAATAAAAAGACATAACTCAGTTGAAAAATGGGCAAATGATTGGAATAGACATTTCCCTAAAGAAGATATAAATGGTCAATAAGCATATGAAAAGATGTTCAACATCATTAGCCATTAGGGAAATGTAAATTAAAACCACAATGAAATACCACTTCATCCCCACTAGGATGGCTATAATCAAAAAGACAGACAATAACAAGTGTTGGAGAGGACGTGGAGAAATTGAAGCCCTCATATATTGTTGGTGGGAATGTAAAATGGTACAGCCACTTTGGAAAACAATCTGGCAGTTCTACAAAATGCTAAACACAGAGTTACCATGTGACCCAGCAATTACACTCCTATTTCTAAACCCAAGAGATTTGAAAACATATGTTCACACAAAAATTGGGATGTGAATTTTCATAGCAGCATTAAATAATCCAATGCCCATCAACTGATAAATGAATAAATAATGATATGCATACAATGGAATATTAGTCTACAATAAAAAGGAATGAAGTACTGATATGGGCTACAATGCTAAGTGAAAGAAGATAGTTATAAAACACCACGTGTTGTATGATTCTATTTATATGAAATGTCCAGAGGAGGCAAATCTAGAGACAGAAAGCAGGTTAGTGTTTGCCAGGGGCAGAGGGGAGAAGGGAATGGGGAGTGATGGCTAATAGGTATGGTTTTTGGCGTGATGAAAATGTTCTAGAATTAGACAGTGATGTTTGCACGACTCTCTGAACATTCTTAAAACACTGAATCGCACATTTTAAAAGAATGAATTTTATGGTATGTAAATTATATCTCAGTAAAGTTATTTAAAAAAAAAACAAAAACAGACAAGTGGTGCCCTATCGCTCTAACTCCGGTTACCATTTATTGAGCACCCACTATGCACCTGGAAGGAAAGAAATACAGACAAACAGGTAGGCTAATATTTATCACTAACTGTACTAGGTATAGTATAATCTCATTAATCTTCATTACAACCTTGTAAGGTAGGTAGTATAATATTTGTATTACTTATGAATAATGTTCTCAGATTAAATGCTGATGTTCAGAGATTAAATAACCAAGATAATTTAACTAGTATGTAGCTAAGGCAGAATTTGAACTAAAGCTCTTAATCACTGCACTTATTTGCTACATGGAGCCCTGGTGGCACAGTGGTTAAGAGCTTGGCTGCTAACCAAAAGGTCGACAGTTCGAATTCACCAGCCACTCCTTGGAAACCCTAGGGGGCAGGTCTACTCTGTCCTATAGGGTTGCTATGAGTCGGAATTGACTCGATGGCAATGGGTTTGGTTTTTTTTGGTTTATTTGTTACATAAAGAAAAAAACTAAAAAATTTTTTCTAACTAGCTCATATGATTGTTGAAAGGTGAAGTGAAACAATAAACATTACAGAGTAAAATGCCTATATATTTTCACTCCAGACATGATTAAATGTGGTGAGTAAAATATCCCCTACAGAATTATTAGTCTATAACTATATATACTTGTAATGTGATACAGATTACAATTTAAAATTTTTACACAAAAAATTTAGTGTAAAAAAAGTCCTTTTTGTACAGCTATTATTTGACTTATATTTCCTTTATTTAAGATTTTAATTCAAAACAGATAATGCTAATTAATTCTCATTCATAATTTGTCACAAATATAATTGTATTTTAAAATGTTGTTATACCTTCAAGCATTGGATTTTAAAAGAGAGGGGCGGCCCCAGTGAGAAGCATACTCATTAAATCATCCAGTCCGTCTGCATTGTTGTAACATTCATCTTTTACGAGTTGCCGTTGGGTCAATTCCAACTCAAGGCGACTCCGTGTGTGTCAGAGTAACAGCTCCCTAGTTCCGATTTCAGCTGAGAAAATGGTTTGATGGGTATTGTCTAGTTTCCTAGAGTCCGTCAAAAGGTGTGGTTCTTTTTACTGCACTTCATCTAAGGGATGAGAGTAGTGATGAACGACATGGCTGCTATCTTACGAGCTAGAAAGGCAGAGTGATGAGAGAATAGTTGTGCCAATAACCTGCTGAGTAATTTCCCTCGATCACATTTCTCTGGGACACAGACAACTTACAAAGAATGTACGTGGTTTGTTGTTTGTTACTCATGTAGTAAGAAATGGGAAGCTACACCACCACCAGTATTTTAAATAAAATTTTCACAATTTTTTATTAGTTTTTTCCCAAACTGCATTTAATTAACTTTTTTTCCCGCTGTATTAATCAAAGACATATATAATTTCTAAGCAGCATGAGACAGTCACTGCCTTCATTTACTTCTAGCTAAAAGCAAAGAAACGTGATGTCATAGTCCAAATGGTCTCTCTACAGTCTACGGTCTCTCAACAGCGGGGTCTTAAAACACCAAAACTAGCTTGAGAACCTCAGGTTGGAAATCAGCTGGCTGGATGAGTTCTGAGGTCCCTTTCCACTTCTGCTCTCTTAGGACTCCTACCAAGATACCTCTTTAAGTACACACACACTCGCACGCGCGCACACACCCAAACCTGGGAGCTGCCCTTACAGCAGGAGGCACCATGTGTGTTGTGAGACACCATCCCATCAGTAATTACTACAGAGATGCTCCTCCCCCAAGGCAGGTGGTCCACTGGACACACATTACAAGTTTCCAATTGTTCACTGCTCTATCATTTTATTTGTAAGCCCCGCCATGAGCTGGAAATACACAGTACACAAAGCAATGTAGACAAACACCCTGTAAAATAAACAAAATTACTTATAAATTATTAATATATTCTCTTGAGGGAGAAGAGACAACTACAGTAGATGCCTGTGTACAAACATGTCAACATGGTACACTGTTGCCACTGAGCAAGTATTTAATTTCACTTTTAGATAAAAAGAATCTTTACCCCTCTATCCTAACCTCACTGGAACTAAATGCTTGCTACTTGAACACAGTTAACCTTGTATAGAGATACAAAAATTTCTCTTTTTCACACCAGCTTCCCCTTGCACTGGGACATCTTAGTAGCCAAACGATTGCCATTACTGTTTGTTCTTATATACTTGGGTCAGGGAACAGGAGCACCTGACCTACCTGAACCCCAAATTTCAGATATAGGATCTCAAGTTCACTGAAAGAGGCAATATTCTTCCCAAGGCAAGACCTAGCCTCCTAAAGGGAAAGACGTTCTACGCTGACCCAGGGCACCAGCCCCACCCTAGTCCCTACAAGCAGGCTGGGCCATTACTGAGCAGCTGGAGGTTCTCCTTCCACCCTTCTCTGAGCATGAACACAGCCTTCGGAGTGCAGATGTGCTCTCAAAGTACAGCTCACAAGTTCATCCGGATCAGGTATGTACAGTGCTGGTGAAGTCACAGTAATGGGCCAATCCTCTTGCTGAGGGGACCATCCTGGCTCTGTTCTCAGGCTGTAGTCTCTCCACTGAGGCCCGCAGGCCCTTGTAGTGGTTCTATGTGAGGAGGATCCTCACTCCAGCAAACCCACTGCTCCCCGGACTAGATAGTTTTCGAGTGTCAATTCTTGTATGAGTGATTTCTCCACAAGGTAATCGAGAAGCTTATAGGCAGGCCCGGTGGGGGGAGGGGGGAGCGGGGAAGAGGCCAAGCCATGTATGAACTGTGACCTTTAAATGGGGCCAAATACATATAAGGTGCTCATCAATATCTCTAATCAAATAAACCATTTCTCCCATGGAGAAATACAAGGGCAGTGGCAGGACAGAAAGAACACCTAAAAAGTGGAGAGTTTAAGAAGTGGGAAATAAGTGCTCTCTCCTACACTCATCATGTTGGGAAGTCCTTAAACTCTCAAACACAGCAAGCAAGCATACTTGTTGAATCAAATAAGCTGGACTCAAGACCCCACTCTTCCCCTGAGAAGCTACAGCATCCTTGGCAGATTCCTGAATGAGGGGGTTTGATGTGAATTTCATTAAGGTACCCGCCAAATACAATTCTAGGTTGTAATTAATTGAGTCACTTCACACTGTATACTAACAGAGCGCAGGAGTTGCCAAGAGCCATATGGATCTTTCAAAGGCAATTTGGATTCTTGCTTAAGGGGAAAGTTAGAATGCTCTATAAACAGCGTGTATCTATTAGGGTAACTTCACTTTAAGTAGGTCAAAATTGTGTACATATATTAATAGTATATATACATACACAGGCAGACACAGACACATACACACACATACACACAATGATTTACTATAATAGCTTCATTCCTGACCAACTCTGAGTGGTTCTTCGATGATGATCTAGGTAACAGCCATCTCTTTCAAGGCCAGCTTACCTTAAATAAATCTGCAACTATTCCATAATCTGCCACTTGGAAAATTGGAGCTTCTGGGTCTTTGTTAATGGCTACAATGGTCTATGAAATAAAAAATACATTAATTAAAAGAGTTAGCCTTTATCAAGAAATCATACCACATAGATTAATGGTTCTATTTTAACTCTCCTTACAACAAATGATACTCTTAAAAATACCTACCAAGTAAGATTCATTTGGTGTATGTGTGCCAATACTGTAAATTTATTAGAAATTTCTGGGTTGGAACATAACAAAATTATCTCCCACCCCTACCCCCAGCTCATCTCAGTATTGAAAAGGTTTTAAAATCATTATTTTTTTTACTGTGGTAAAATATATATAACATAAAATTTTCCATTTTAACCATTTTTAAGTATACAATTCAGTGGTATTAATTATATTCACAATGTTGTGCAACCATCACTATTGATTTCCAAAACCTTTTCATTACCACAAACTCTCTGCCCATTAAGCAATAACTTCCTACCCTCCCTTCCTCCAGCCCACGTAACTTCTAATTTACTTTGTCTCTATGTATTTGCCTATTCTAGATATTTACTATAACCACAACAATAACAACAAAAAACCCAAACCCGCTGCCTTCGAGTTGATTCTGACTCACAGTGACCCTATACGACAGAGTAGAACCGCCCCATAAGGCTTTCAAGCAGCAGCTGGTGGATTCCAACTGTCGACCTTTGGGTTAGCAGCTGAGTTATTAACTACTAATATTTGCTGTTTTGTGTCTGGCTTATTTCACTTAGCATAATGTTTTCAAGGTTCATGCAAGTCACAGCATGTTTCAGAACTTCATTCCCTTTTATGGTTGAATAACAGTCCATTGTGTGTATATACTATATTTTGTTTATCCATTTGTTGATGGACATTTGGGTTATTTCCACTTTTTGGCTATTATGACTAATGCTGCAATTCTGGTACACAACCATCTGTTTCAGTCCCTGCTTTCAATTCTTTTGGGTATATACCTATGAGTGGAATTGCTGGGTCATATGGTAATTCTATGTTTAATTTTTTTTAGGAACTGCCAAACTTTTTTCTAAAATCATTATTTTTTCTAAAAGTTCTTCTTTGACTTATGAAAAAATATGTTTGATTTTAGATAAAAATGTAACAAATCCACCCCAATTCACAACCTTTGTACCTCAAACTATTTCTGTCTCCATATATTCCATATCACTTATTGTTTTAAAATTATTATCCTTTGTCTGTTCTAAGAATATATAAGCTATTCTAAGAATACACTATCCTTTGTCTGTTCTGAGAATATATATATAAGCTATCAAGTCAGCCTGTTAGTAAAGGAGAACTTTAAAATGAAAGATTTTAAGTCCTTATGTATGCAGCAAACGTATGTAATAAAACAAGCAAAAAGTTTCTCTTCTCTCCTATAATTTTTTTTAATGTTAAAGATATAACAACAGCTTATTAACAGAATAAGGAGAAATAATCACTCAAAAAGGTGCTGTGTTCACCAATCATTCTTTTATTAACATCGGACTTATTTATATATTACAAATAGTTTGGCATTCCCCAGAGATGCTTCTCACAAAATTTCAATTAAAGTAAAATTAGAGAAATATCTAGAAGTAAAATTAAGTTTCTACCTGCCTGTTACTGTATCTCATGAAAATAGCTGAAACATGTTTGGAAACTATTTTGGAAATATTCTGACTTAAAATATAGGCCACACGACATATGTGTACTTTTCTCGCAGGGGCAGAATATTCCAGAATATCTGAGAATGGAGCACAGTGAATAACTGTCAATCCAGAGAAACATGCCATATGTATAACACACCATGAATAGAGACAGTAAACAATGGCCTCAAACAGGAGCCTCAAATGCAGTCATAAGAACAAATGTTTTGAATCACAGGCACTGATTTGCACTGAGGTGGTTCTCTTCTGGGAATGTGCAGCCTGCTTCACAGCTCCTATCAGAGATTTATTTAATTAATGATGGTTAATGATTCTCCTGGAGGCCACCTAGTCAAACACCTGACAGTATAATCATCTGAAAGCATTTTCATTTCACTATATAAAAGTTAATTTTAAAGAAACAGTGCATAACTGTGGGGCAAAGAACCACTAAGGTATTTGTTTTTCAGATTACTAAAATAATATTCCTGATTATAAACTGTAAATAATCACAATCAAGTCTTGCTTGTACCCTAGAGCTCTCCTAATTATCTCATTATGGCTCATGTTCTTCCTCTTTATATTTTTAAACCCATGGATTGTATCCAACCATATTAATATGTATATAGTTCAAAAAGTGCTTTCATTTACATTGACGCATTTGATACAACAATCCAGTCTTGCATTCTTTCCACTATACCACAATGTTAACTAAAATTGCAGCTTGTAAGCAATGCAACTATCAGACTTCAAGCAATTACTCTATAGCCCATTTTACAGCTTAACCAAAAAAACCAAACCCGTTGCCACAGAGTCGATTCCAACTCATAGCAACCCTATAGGAAAGAGTAGAACTGTCCCACAGAGTTTCCAAGGAGCATCTGGTGGATTCAAACTGTCAACCATTCGGTTATCAGCCATAGCTCTTAACCACTATGCCACCAGGGTTTCCAAAATTACAGTTGGAGATTATTCCGTGTCCCACATAAAACAGCGAGGGCAGGGGCAATGTCTTTTTCATGTAAGCATCCTGAGCATCTAATACAAGGACCATGCTTAATAAAGAGGATGGAGGAACAAAGTCTTGGCTCAAGCTTATTCTAATGGATTATCCCCCAACACTGGTCTCCTTACTTAAACTGTTCCCTATTTGCTTTAACACATACTATCTAGTCCTTCCCTCCCCCAATCTATCTCTGTTGGCATGGGATAAAATTTTTCACCAGGATCTTCTTGGCAGGTAGAAGCTTCTATTTCAGAGAAGCAGAATTCTAGATATGTTTTAACTGGTTCTGCTAAAAATATATTTTAAGGCTGCTGGTACTGGAGGTTCTTTTTTTTTTTTTACTTTAATGCAGCAATAACATTTTCCCCTTTGGCATTGCTGTTTTCATAGCTCAGTAAAGAAACCTGCCATCCAACTGTGAAATCTGACTGGTTTTGGGCCAGTTCATTTAGAGGCTACAAGGAGGTAGTGCATGCATTTCTTCAAGTTAGAAGTTAAACCTGTTAAAAGTTTTATTACCTTTCATATCAAGCTTCCACCTGAATGGATAAATGCAGCAGTGTCAGAGGCATCTCTGACTTCATGAAGGACTAAGTTCATAATTCAAACTGTACACTGTTATGCATGAATTAATGTGTCATATTCAGTAATATATATTCAGAGTCATTACACCGGACTTCCAGATATAGCCCAAGTAGCACGTTAAAATCAAGTGTTTCCTCCTATCCACTGTATTTTTGACAATTACCGAGATATTAAGATGTCTTGATGTTCCAACCCAAAATGTACCGGTCATGCTTTGGTAACAACCCAAGAAGAATGATCCTTCTTCTTGGATCATTGAGGGTGGGAGTGTCAGGGGACCAGGGTGAAGCAGACAGAGAGATCATCAGGGAGAAGGACCTCATAAACCAGTTAGATGGTCAGAACCTCATCAAAGTTGTTTATGGCCCACATCTTTTACCCACAGACTGTCAGAGCTGAAAGGGACCTTAGAGATCATGACTGAACACCCACATCAGGCAGCTGAAGAAACTGAGGTGCAGACAGAACATGCCATGCAGTTAGCTAGAGGTGAAGCTGGGATTCAGGGTCAGGCCTCCTTCCCTGACACAGCACCACCTCTCCGACTGACGGTAGGTACGTTCTCAGGCAGTGAACAGTGGCCTCTATTTCTTTCAGTTCCCAGATCTGTGTTAAGGTCAGTGGTCCAACTACACTGTGTAACTACATGGAAAACACATAGTGAAACTCAAATTTTTTAAAATGAAAACTTTTCCGCTTAACCCTCATTATTGTTGTGTATAGTTAGTTACCTTGCTGTCTTTCATCCCAGCTAAATGTTGGATGGCTCCGGATATTCCTACGGCAATATAAAGTTCCTGAAAAAAAAGATACCATATCATTAATGTGTATTTATATAATACTTTCCAAAGCTATCAGCAATTCAAGTCTTAAACAAAAGATATTTTAAATTTAGAAAACAAAAGAGAAGCAATATGCATTATTTAAATATACTTTTCTGGTTCCCTGATCATCCCAACACACAGTCCTGTTTTTCCTCTGAATTCACTGCCACCTAATGCTAATAAATATGTAGATGAGACTACTGAGTATTTACTATGTGCCAGCCACTGTGCTAAGCACTTCCCAATCTCACAATTGTCTGTGAGGTAGTACTTTTTGTCTGTGCCCTCATTTGGATATCACTCCCCAACTTATACATGCTATATACACCCATTCACAACAGACACACTGCGTATTAACAGAGAAACACACATACTCATATATATTAAAATATATTTTGACTTAGTTGTTTGCGTTCTTACAAAATGACATTTATTAAAATGGCAATTATGATTAGGGTATATTTATTAAAATTCATATGAAAATATATATATAAACCAGTGTCAAGAGGTCCTAAAGACACACACACACACACACACACACACACACACACACACTCTAAATAAATAACAAACTTTTCCAAGGCATGGGCTAAACCTCTCCATTTCCAGAACCTAACAAAAAGCTCCCCTGGGCCCCTGACACACACTGCAGTTTCTAAGCAAATGTTGGTGATGATATTTAGACTTCTTCCTTCCCCTACTCCCCAAAATCAAAATGTGAAGGAAATGACGACTGACTGCTGTTCTCCATCCCCTTATCTAAAATTTTTAAAGTATCCATGTTTGAAAATGAAAACTCGCTATCTTCACGGAAAACTGATTTAATAAGGACTTAATTAAAAGAGCTTAGCCACTCCCTTCTGTCTACTAGGTAAAATTAAAGCTTCAATTAAAAAGCTTTACCCACACATAAATTGAATTAATAAGCCCTGGCTTGGGTAGGGGGTGCGCTTACCATGTAGCCAGATTGACACTTTGGTTTTTTCACAACTGACAGTGAAGTGTCTCCTTAATATGAACAACACACGGAAGGCACGGAAGGTGGCCGTGTCACGCTCAGTTTTATTACAGGGAAGATACTTCAAAGCCAATGGCAGTGTCAGGCAGCCCCACGTTGTCTTCTGCACTGCTCCTGAGCTAATTTAAAAACTGCTCATTTCAAAACAAGAGCATTTCACCTAGGATCTGGGAATAATGTCATTGCCACCTAATGCTATGATTTTACACAGCACCTAAGTGTGTGTTGCCACAAACAATTTCCCTCTTGGGCCTCAGTTTCCCCAACTGAGGAGGTGCAGCCCCGGGACTGGTGTTTTCTAAAAAAGTTCCCCAGGATATGCTCATGTGCAGCCAGACTTGAGAACCACCGGACTAGATGACCCCCCAGCTCTTCTGCAGCTTGAATCCTATAACTCTATCCAGCATACTGGGGGTGTATCTCTAGAAGGTTAACTTCCATAAAGGTACAAAGTGTCCAACTGCTTCCACCAGAGCAACAAGATACCACTGTGTACCCTGGCGAAAGAAAATAATCTAGTCTCCAAAGCAGTTAACTATCTAAAAATGAGCAGGGCTTGTTTTCAGATTCAACGTACTCTGTATTTATCATCAAAAGCCAAGTATCACTAACAGCAATCTGGCTTTAGAGAGACTGTGTCTTAGGGTGAGGAAGGTATACTGCAGAAAGTAAAATGTTCAGTGGCTCCATCTTGAACATAACCAGTGTGTCAGTTATGACCATACACAGTTGGACAACACAATAGGGCCATGTCATCATACTGTCTCCTCAGACATAGACACTCACATGAGTGATAAAAAGGCTTATTTTCTTTGAAAAAGTTCTGCTATTTTCTATCTCAGATTTACAGGTAACTTCAATTGATCATTTTAAAGTCATTTCAGTTTATTATGACTAGCATTTCTTTCATTAAGGGATGTTCACTAAATTGTTAATCAAGCTATAATTATTAAATCTCATATTCATCTGGGGAAACCAGCACACACACAAAAAAATCTCATATTCAGGAAAATGAGAAATATTTAAGTCAGATCAACAAGTTCTAATGTAAAGATTTTTAAAGCAAGTTATTATACAGACAGACAGAAATTGTCTCACTAACCACTCTTGTAGGTATATTCTCCAGGCAAGTATTGGAAAGGATCAATAGTTTCATAAATGAGTCCTTCTGACATATATGTCTACATTAAAATTCAACAAGTCTTAAAAGCCTCTCCATTTGCATCATAAAATGCTAATAACAATATTGATTCACTCTGGCAGTAAACATCTACATAAACATAATATAAATGAAATTTTACTTTAAACCTCCCTCAGAAACGAATCTTGTGGACTCTAACCATAAATGCCACTAATAATAGATTCTGGGCCAAAGCAAACCAAATGCAGGCTCTAGGGCCATCCCTTCCTTTGTGGCCAGCATAAACAGTCTGAATGGGTCCACATGGCCAACGGGACCTTATTTTACTGTCTTCCAAACATGGTTCTCTGAATTAATATAAAAGTATTGAAACAAAAGTTCAGACTGAGTCCAGGGATTTTGGCTACAGTTCTGAGCCTCTGATAGCTCACTCAGGCAGGAAGAGAGGCTTTTCTTCTTTTTTAAAAAACATGTACAGGCAATTAGACTAATCTCCTAGGATGCTTCCTCATGGCTCAGAAAGCATTTTTGTATTTCAATAATAATAATTAGTATGTAGAAAACTCCCTACAGATGCTAATTTATGGAGCACTTCAGACACTGCTTCACAACATAACAAGGCAATCCCTGCCCTGAGGCGCTTTCCTTCTAAATCGGATAGTAAGTAAGATAATTTGGAGAGAAAATGAGAAACAATGTTGGAGGGGAGAACAGTAATTAAGGATTCAAAAAGCAGTCGGATTAAAGAAAGGAACAGGCACAGAAGGAAGGCGGGGTAGTCCTCGTAGCCTTAGCAGAGGGAGGGGATCTAGAAGAGTGAGAGAACAGATCAAGCCACATAGTCGGTAGCAGTTAAGTAGAGGTGGGAAGAGGACCAGAGGTTGTTCTGAAATATAGAGAAGGGACAGCACTTAACAGAAACAAGAACTGGTCAAAGGAAGCGCAAATTCCTTTTTCCTTTGCCAAAACCGAAGAAGACTGTAGCTATAGATTCACAGGAACCCCAGTGGCACAGTGGTTAAGTGCTCGGCTACTAACTGAAAGGTCAGCAGTTCGAACCCACCAGCTGCTCCACAGGAGAAAGATGCAGCAGTCTGCTGCCATAAAGATTACAGCCTTGGAAACCCTATGGGGCAGCTCTCACAGGGTAGCTATGAGTCGGAATCGATTCAGTGGGCTGGGATAGAAATAGCAATAGGGCTTGGAAACTGCAGCATCCTACACGGTTTAACGGAAGTTTGTCGGAGGTGAGACATACCCCGGTATCACAAACAGTTAAGTGCTAGGCTGCTAACCAAAAGGTCAGCAGTTAGAATCCACCCACAGCCACCTTGGAAGAAAGGTCTGGCAATCTACTTCTGAAAAGCCAGTCACTGGAAACCCTATACATGTGAGCAGACACATGGGGCAACGATGAGTTGGAATCAACTTGAAAACAACTGGTTTGTTTTTTGCCAGAGGAGTATATTGCTGTGGTTTAGATCCTAGGTGCTATAGTGAGAAACCGTTTTAATTCTCCTGGAACCCAGATTTCTGGGTCCATGGAGTGGGGTGACCCACCCAGGCATTTGCCCTTAGGTGTCCTTTTGAACCTTGAGCATCGAAACTGGTTTTCTAAAAGTTAGCTTTGAGTCAAACAATGATCTAGATAAACTAGTAAGACCGTTTTGCCTCAGGCATTGCGTTCTTTTGAAGAATTCTGTCAGTTTCAGGGAACAGAGGCTCCAAAGGTCAGACTGGGAGCTATGTTTTAGGGTAAACCACTGACTATTTTCATTGTTCTTCAAGACAAGGCTGTATGAAATTCTTCCTGACCACAAATTGTTTATCAGTTCTGTTCCTGCCCTTTTTCATGGAAATGCTGATAAGGTGTGCTATTAGCATTTTAGATGTCCTTCTCATCTTCGGAACATTTTTGACTCTCTAGTCGAAATGTTACCTGATTTGCAAATCGTATATTAAATAAACATCAATTTCTATTATTGACTTCATATGATTTTTTTTTTCTTTCTTTTTTTAACAGCAGTCTGACTGCCTAAATACAAAGTCACTTACAGGTTGTTGTAAACACTGCCACCTGATAGATGTGTGACCCCGGACCAGTTTAACTCTCTATGCCTCAGTTCGCTCCTCTGAAAAACTAGGTTTATAAGAATTCCATTTCACTGAGTTACTGTGAGGCTTCAGTCCTTAGCACGGTATGTGGTTTTCCAAGACGCACTGGTGTGCCTTCATGAGTTGAGGTTTGCTGAAATATTGATTCCCTCAACTCACAGCGTGGCCAAGTGGGCTCCTGGGGTGGTCTCAGGGCTACATGTACAGCTGAGAAGGCTGTACACTGAACAATGTGGGGGTGGGGAGCACCGTTCATCTCATAGTCATTATAGATCTGTATTTTTATTACAGTAATTTTCCAACAGATGGCAGTAAAGTATCTTCAGAAAGGGACACTAATTTTATAATTTCTACAAGAGTCATATAGAATAATATAAGTAAGTACTTGGTAGCTAGAACTCCTTGTGATATAAACACTAGTACTTTCTAAACGTACCATGATAGCAAAAAGGTTGAGCAGCACAGGTTAACTACGATTTTACTGTTGTTGAGGTTGTTGTACCTTCCAGGTAATATAAAGATGTCTAATGCTTTGTCCTGTCCTCAAGAAGCTCAAAGTCTACTAACACACATGCGATGCGATGGAGCACTTTTATATGGCTTTTCTTGCCATGGTCTTATAACTCCCACCAAATGATTGGGTGGGACTATGCAAATAAGGTGTTTGTGGCCCACCAAGGGGATTAGACAGTTTGATAA